CCAAACTGAAGCCTGCAAGCAGGAGGCCCACACAACTAGCTCCATGCCACCGCCGCTCCTCCCCACTCACGCAAAAAAACAGTCTGGTGCTCATGTTTTTGCACTCAGATCAAGTTTGGCTTTCTTGCTTTCCTGGTTGGGTTTTAGTTGACTCTCAGAGATCCCGGGGGGAGGAGGGGTCTGGAGGAGGGGAAGCCTTCAGGACTTGGGTTAATGTCCTCTTTCTAGATTAATGAGCTCCAGGCTAAATCCACCCAGAAAGCCTAGGACATGTAGGAAAACTCCTGGCAGGGGAGAAGAGGGTTATAGAGCAGTTGGGATTTTCTTTTCGGTTTTTCTTTTTTTTTGTTTTTTTTTCCTCTCCACTTCGTAGTTTGGTTTTTAGTTTTGTGGGCAGAGATCTGTAGAAACAGGTTAGAATCAGTTTTCTGCTGGCCCTGCCGTGTTGCTCATTCTGAATGATAAAATGCCATAAAATCAGCAGCTTCAAACCACAAGCGTGCTTAAGGCGAGAGTGTCGGCCTGGAAATGTCACAATGAGTAAACGGTGTAACGGACTTCCATGCTCCAAGCAGTAGCGTTTAGCCCAGGAGCGTCCCTGACTGCCCCCTGCCTACTTTTGGCCTCCGTACGCCTTCTAATTCCCCCTATCACCCGTCCCATCAGGCGAGAAATCCTTAGCTGTCTCCTTCCTCAGCTGCTTCCTCAGCTGGCCGGGCGAATTTACTTCGGCTCTGGGGTGGGGGAGGGGTGGGGAGGAGGGGACAGCCAGAGCACCGGCTGAAAAGAAACACCGAGTCCACTCGTAAATCTTCTCTAGAGCAGAACCTGGCTTCTGTTTTTGGGTCTCTGGAACCGCTGGAGACAAATGTCCCGGGCGGGCGCATCTGACAGCAGTTAGCGAAACAAAAGTCCGAGGCGGGGGCAGAGAGCCCAGGCCGGGTCTGCGCGTCACTGGGTTACCCCAGCCCCGGGACCTGCACGCTAGCCTCGCCGGGACACCCAACCAACCTAGGCCTTGGTGCACAGTGGGAGCGAGACAGTGGGTCCCAGACGAAGGCCCTCGACTCCTATGTCTGGGCTATCTCAACTGGCATGAAAAAACAAGCGCCTCCCTTTCCCTCGGAAACTGGGTAACAAGGTATGAGAAGGACCCTGGGGCCTGTAAGTCCCAAGGTGAGCGCGTTTCCCTTTCCGCGATCACTGAAGCGCGACGAGGATTCTGAGCTGCGCGAGTTTGTGCAACAAACTTCTGGGAGCTAACCCCTTCACTCACTTTCCCATCAATATTTAATAATGGTTAGACGGGGTGGGCAAAAATCCAAGGATACTCTCTCCTGTCCCTACACCAAGTGTGACTGCAGCAGTTTCGGAGCGCGCTCTGCTCTGAGTTTTTACTTTCATAGGTAAAGAAGTCGCCACAAGAATCAGCCAGGAGCCGCACCTTCTGACCCGCGCAGAGGTCTCCCCGCAGCTCCATCCTATGACAGACCCCTGGTGCGGATACCGGGGAAGGAGGGGGGCAGTAAGTGAGGACCGCAAAGGCTGGCGCTGACCCTGCGCTTTCGGGCCGCGGAGTCCTGGACGAACCTCTCTTGTGGCCACCTTCGCCAGGCCTCAGCGGTGCCTCACCCAGGTCTGCGCAAGACCGAGTCAGGCGCGTCTGCGAGTGCCGTTGGAGAGGGCTGGGAGCAGGTCAGGAATCGACATTTCAGAGGTTGCTTGAGTACCACGGAAACTCCAGGTTAAGTTCCCTCAAACCTGTGGTTACTCACCACAAGGAGCTCAGAGGCAAAGTGTTCAATAGTCAAGTTGGTGGGGACTTTCCCTACTCAAGTAATAATTTGCTAATTCGGATCTATTGCTTTTAAATATCGAGTTGCAGAGACCTCTGTCAATGCAGGCTTAATTTCATCCCACTGATGAAGGATGTTTATAAACGGCTCCTGTGGTGCAAGCCGAGTGTGAAAACATCAGTTTTATGCCTTTTGATAAGAATTACCGAGGTGGAAGGCTTATTAGGCGATTACAAATTTCGCAGCTGCTCGCAGCCCAATTAGGCAGCTCTTCGAGGTGAGTGGAAACTGTGGGGGTCAGGGCGGGCTGGTGTTCCCGCTCTCCAGCCCCGGACCTCCAATCAAGGCCTCGGCTCTACGGAACCCAGACCCCTTTCCGACCCCCTCGGGCTTTCAGGAGAGTCACACACAGCGCCTCCCAACTGGCCTGGGAGCCGGGCAGTCGGGACAGGATGCACCCTTAAGTCTCTCTGGCTATATTAACCTCCAGAGGCGTTGGTTGTCCCGCCTGGATGGACTTGCGATCTCCGACTTTCCCTTAAGAGAGAAGTAGTCGTCTAGAAATTTCAAGTTAGTAGGTAAGAATCGCCCAAAGCAGGCGAGCCCTCTGCCTCCTGCAGACACGTAAGATGATGTTTTTTTTATTTGTCCTCCTTCTACCAAAATTGTTCTCAATTGGAGTCGTCTGGGCTAAGCACCCTCACTATGATATTTACAAAAAGAGTCGATTTTCAGCACAAGTACCTAACATAGGAAGAGCTAATCTGCAAAGCAGCAGAACTTCCTTTGCCAGAGCCAGCGGAGGAGGTGCGTGGGCAAAAGGGGTGACACTGCCTCCAAGAACCCGGGCAACTGAGCAGGAGAAACCCCTAGCTCCTGTGTTGGCCCCTGCCAAGTAGTAAGGAGGTCGTTGGGCCCAGGACCCGCTGGGTGCTCAGCCCCAACATTCATAGCAGATACCTGCATGTTCTCCTCCTCCCACCTCCACACATGGTCCCCAGCCGAAGGCTTACACACAGCCAAGGACTCAAATAAACTCACCGCCCAGAGGCCTACAGAGCAAGGCACGGTGCGCGCAGTTACCCGGCGGGAAAGGTCCGCGTCCGGCCGGGCTCCGAGAGTAAAGCGGTCGCCAGACAAGCTTTTAGGTCTTCTTTTTCGGTCTGACGACCATTCTTCTTTCCCAAGCCCAGAAGCCTCTAAAAATGAATCATTGCCTCCACTTATGCACTGATAGGAGCTCTTAGATCAAGATTAGTATTTTGAAAACCTGATTGAGAGCCGCCTGATTAGGCGAGGGTGGGTGGAAAGACCGCATAAACACCCGCGCCCCCGCCCCACTTCCCAAAACAGCTCCAGCGTTCTCTATCTCCAAATGACCCCCGCGATTAATTCTCCCCATAATAGCCAAGCAGTACCCCAGGTTCATTTTGAAGACCCTAACCAATAGAAACGGTAACTAAATCTCCCAACTGGCTCTTTAATTCCACTTTCAATACTGCTCGATACACGGCCTGACAGAGCCAACGTTCTGCACGACCGTCTTTCCATTCACAAGAGTCATCACAAGACCGATGCTATTTTATGGGAAATGCATTATGTGGATTTTGCCCCAGAACACTGATTTTTGCACTCGATGAAAAAACAAGTCTCTCTGTTCTCCACGCACAGGTTAGCTTTTCGAGAACTCGGTCCACCCCAAGCCCTCAATTCTGTAAGAGGGCACCGATTAAGCGTAGCGCTCCCCTCCCCCTACCCGCCAAATCTAAGCAAGACTTCCCAGAGAGGACCCGCGGGGGGGGTTGGCTAATATTAACGTGAGAGCTGAGCAAAAAAGAAAACGACGGCGATAGGGAAATGCTCTAAGGACCCTCGTTTGTTTGAGAGAAAAGTGTAATTGGGGAAAAAGTAGCTTTGCAGTCTTTGGTTTAGATCGGCTCACTTCGCAGGGAAGTCTGCATCTCTGCTCCCGGCCTTGCTCTCTGCCGGCTGGTTCGGAAGAGAGTATACTTCATCGCTCTCTTCCACGCAGACAAGGCGCAGCTAGGAGATGTGTGTATATACTGTATATCCGTCTAATTGGAGCAACATCGCATGCTTTTGTGGAAGGCCTTTAGGAAGCAGACTAAGTATTCTTCCATTACTTATGGTTCCGAAGTTTGCGTCGTTTTGTTTCTTACAAAGGGAAAACTGGAAATAAAAATTATCGTTGAATAGTCTTTACCAAATTCTCCTTCATACACTAAGTGACGGAGTAAGATTTATACTATAACGAAGCTATTTAAACAAGCACATCATCCAATCCTAATCATAATTAAGGTATTCTGGAGACCAACCCCTCCTTCCGCAAATCCTCAGCCAAAAATCGAGGCAGAACCTGACCGCATGAGAGCTTAAATTTTGTCTAGGTCAAGATGAAAGAGCAATACTTTTTGCCTTGTCGCCTTGGTTTCAAGTCTATTCGTAATCATTAGCTTTTGCGCTGCCCAAATGTTCCCTGTTCCAATGAGAAAACTTTGCAAAGCGAGCGCCCACCGCTAGATCAGCCAGCCCCCAGGCTGCCCCGGAGCGTCCGCCTTCCTCCGCCAGCCCGGAGAGCTGCGCGTCCCGGGAGAATGACTAAAAAGTTCGAGTGGCCCAGACCTCGGCTTCCCCTTAGGCTTGCTGCGAAACCAGATGTAACCTGAATCTTTGTTTAGGTTTTGGTTGGGAAGCGAGAATTAAAAAGCCACGGCAAACGCAGAGAGCAGATTTTTTTTAAGTCAAAAGTTAACAGGGCCTTTCCTAGTGGGTTTTTTTTTTTTTCTTTAAGACTAAATCAGGAGTAAGCTGGCTAGTCCTGATAAAGATCTTAACAGGTAGAGAAGGCGGGTTTTCCTGAAGGAGGTGAGACTATTCCTCCAGGAAAAGACTCCCGCCCCCCCCCCCCCATGCCCTTCCCTCCCTTTCTGTGAGGTTCCACCCTCTGGAAAACAAACTTTTTTTTTCCCCTTTTCTTTTCCTGGCGGGATAGACCTCAGCGAAGTTGGGGGGTGGGCGGGAAATCTTAAGAAGAGTCCACCCGAGAACGGTTACGGCCACAGCGGCCTCTTTGGACGAAGAGTTGCTTGTAGCGTTCTTGCTCTCCTCGGTGTCAGCTTTTATTAGAGCGCTGGGGAGGGGGTGGGGGAGACCGGCAGACGCGGACAGCCTCTGACCCTCCGGAGCTGGTATGAGATAAGCAGCCCTAGCAGTGCCATGTATTGGAAAAGCGATCAGATGTTTGCGTGTAAACTAGAAGACAAGGACGTGCCGGAGCTGGCAGTTTCCCCTGAGAAGGTGAGCGAGCCGACGCCCGGCCAGACCCGCTGAATCGCAGTTGCCTTGAAACGCAAGCTGTTCGGGCTCCTAAAGGAGGTTCAGAAATTACCTGTAACAGCCTCATCTTCAGACCTGGCATTTTTTTTTGTTGTTGTTGTTACGTAGTAGCGTTAGTCAGTAATCATTGCCTCCCTCCCTCCAAGCTCACTTAACCAGAGGCATGGATTTGGAGACTGTAATTTGGGAGCCGAAGCCTCGAGCCTAAGGCGCTCTCGGGTACATGTGAGTCGTGTTTTTGTTCTGTTTGCCGAGGTGATTGAGGCGGTCGGGCAGAGACAGAGTCGGGAGGTCCGGAGGGCTGTCGGTGGGACCGAACGGAGGCGCAGCCGCTTTCGCCCACGGGCGGCGGACGCCCTCGGGCCTCGGGCTGCAGGGCGGGCGGGCCCGGAGCGAAAACGGAGAGGCGAGGGCCGCCGGGCATCCCAGGGCGGCCGCGAGCGCTCTTTCACTTGAAATTCCAGAAGCCACCCCGGGGGGACGGGTCACACCGTTGGTTGAGGAAGTGGGGGGAACTGACAGGCCCTCGTCTCACTCCGGAATCAAGACCCAGGAGTGTCTCTCATTTAAGTTTGAAAATCAACTGTTTGTGCGGGTTCCGCTGACTTTGACTTTGCTTCGACGCTGGCGAGGAACACCCGACGAGCACAGAGCTTTTCTGCTTAAACCCGGTGCGGGCGAGGACTCGGCCTCCGCGGCTGCGCGGGGTCCCGCGTAGGGAGCGTCCGCGAGCGTCCCGGCTGCGGGCCGGGGCGCGGCGGCCGTACCGCCCATCTCGCCCGGTGCTGCGGGAGGGAGGGACGGCGGGGGCCGCTGGAGCTCAGCCTCCCGCATCCCGCCCGGCACCACAGCAGGAGTTTTGGTAAAAGAAGGCAGAAAACGCCCAGAGAGGCTGCGTTTTCGTTTAAGAACAAAACTCCAGGAATGGCTTGCAAACACTTGAGTAGTGTGCGTTGTTGCTTTAAAACATTTTGACCGAGCTTGGGTGAGATTTTTTTAATGGCACGAATTAAATTCAGCTGGATATTTTCCATTATTCCGTGCCCTTTTTGCGCTGGTTAAAAATAATCCTTTAGTAGCTCAAATGTTGACTTACTGAGCAATAAGTGGCAATTTACACCTTAAAGAAACGAGTGTAAATCACTCGCAGCTCTAATTGCTGCAAGTTTACGAAAGAGCTGCAGGCTCGATTTAATCTGAAGCATTTTCATTCAAATTGTCATCGGAACGAGCACCAGGCTTCTTAAATCCCGCCGTAATTAGCTTTCAAGTATCCTATTAAACCTCTTCACCTTTCGGGCTATCCAATTCAAAAAGCCCCCTTAAAAAAATGTCTTGCTCTTTTAATTGAGGTTATTAAAGAAATCAAGTTTCTTCCCCCATCCCCTCCTCAATCCTCTTTTCTTCTCTCCCACCCTGCCTCTCCCCCCACCCCGTGCACCCCCTTTAGCCCCGCGATCCCCGCACCGCCGTGATTGACATCTAGAAAGAAAACGCTTTGTGCCGGGATGATTGTTATTAACTTGTTATCCGCGGCAGGGGGGCGGGGAACCCAAGTCCTCCGGTGAGAGCCGGGGAGCCGGAACCCCGAGAGTTCCGCGGCGCGCCGGGCGAGCCCTCGGCTCCCGGGTGGCCGGCTGGGTTCGCGACGCCGGGGCCGAGGGGCCCTGACGGCAGCCCGCGCGGCCCGCGCGCTGGGCCCTTCATTAGCCCGCCCTGCGTGCGGGGGAGCCGAGGCTTCCGGCCGCGTGTGCGGGCTCGGGACTTCTCGTCTGTTTCTCCCCACTCCACCCCGCAGTGCCTGGGGCTCATGTCGGAAGAGTGCGGGCGGACTGCTGCCCTGGCGGCCGGGAGGACTCGGAAAGGCGCCGGGGAAGAGGGACTGGTAAGTGGGGAGGGACACGAGTGCTGGCGAGTCTGGCCGCGCGTGGGCGGCGGCCCGGTGCCTCGTCCCGGCCCAGCTGGCTCTCGCGGAGCGGGAGGAGAGAGGGTTGGGGCGGGGCGGCGTGCAGAGCTCCGCCGGCCTGGCGCGCGGGGCCGGGTTTGAGCGCCCGGGTCCTGGAGGTCAGGGGTCGCAGCCCCAGTGGGTGGTGTCTGGAGCTTGGACTCTGGACCCCGGGTGACGGCGAGGAGAGGGACCTCACGAACTGGGCGGGAAGGGGTGCCGCTGCTAGGGAAAGGGCGGGGAGTCGGTGGGGGCGCCCCGGGAATCCGTGGGATGAGAGCAGGAGGGATCTAGAGCCGCCTGCGACCTCGCCCTGTGGCTTCCTGCAGGTGAGCCCGGAGGGAGCGGGGGACGAGGACTCGTGCTCCTCCTCCGCCCCGCTGTCCCCGTCGTCCTCGCCCCGGTCCATGGCCTCGGGCTCCGTCTGTCCCCCTGGCAAGTGTGTGTGCAACAGCTGCGGCCTGGAGATAGTGGACAAGTACCTTCTCAAGGTAGGGAGGAGCTGCGAGGCCCAGGGGGAGCGGACTACCCTGGGAGCGCTGGGAAAAGAGAAAAGTTTCTTTCCGCCTCTTTTCCATTCAAGTTCTCGCTTGAGGTTGTAGGCTTTCAAAGCAAAACAGGCCAATCAAGGGCAACTCGTGCGGTGGGGAACGGTAAGGGAAGAAATCTTACAATCTCCCAAGTTTTTGCAAAACAGCTTTTGTGTGACAGGTCATGGTCTGGAAGTGCCGATCCCTCGGGTGGGTGCACTGGAGTCAGCCGCCAACTTGTAGAGGAACGGAGTGAAGAAACCCCTTTACCCCGTTCTGAAATGCAGTCCCTCCTGATTCTTTTCCCTGAGCCCGGGCTTAGGTAGCGTCTCCGCACCCTCCGATAACGCCGGCACGCGGGGCCTGCTTCGGGGAGTCCCAGGTCGGTGTGCGAGGACTGATTCCTCTTTGCAGTGTCTCTTTTTGGTGAGAACCACTGTAAGTGTTGTAACGTCTCTTTTTGCAGAGAATTTTAACGTAGTCTTGTGTTTATTTACCTGAGACTTTTCCAAAGTAAAAAAGTCCCTAGGAGCATTTAAATACAAATCATTTCAGTATCTTGGTCCTCTCATTAAGGTTTAATACTTCAAGGCCATCCAATGCTTTTTTTTTTTTTTTTTTATGTTATCTCCAGTGCTTGGGGCCAAATGGAAGTTGATGTAAATTTACAAAGATAAGAAAGAAGCCTGCTAGGAAATGCTTCCAATGGTGGCGTAAGAGTAGATTGTCTTAATTTATTTGTTTTATTTCTCTTAAAATATTGTGGGGGAGTTTGGAGTATAAATTCTGGCAGGCCACAGTTCTTCATGTCATTGCCTCCAGGCGCTGGGTCCCATGAGTCTTAATCCTAATGCTCTGGGTTTTCAACTTCAATACCTCTTTAAAACCACTATTTAAACTAATGATCTCTCCTACACTGAATTAGTAGCAAACCAGTTCACTTTCTATTCCCTCTCCACCAACCCCCTACCCATTCCAATTTGCAAAAGAATTAATTATGGGAGTGTAGGAGTTAAAAAAGCAGGTTAGTGGGGTTCTTTACATTTCTACCTCAAAGTACAAAGCTGCTTCATCTGTAAAGTGGAAATGATACCCTATAGATAAAACCCAGATAAAGCACCAAAAGATGTTTTGGTAAAAACATTAAAAAATGACTTCAGTTAACCTTTATTGATTAGTAATTCTTAAAGTTGACAAATTAACTGGCTTTCTCTTCAAATCTACATTCTAAGAATCTCCTTTCAATGCTTCTAAACCTGGGCCTTTTTGGGTATTTGAAAATCATCTTTTGGGTCAAAAGTAGCTTATTTTCAGCACTTCCTCTTAGTAATTAGCATAATGTTTAAGAATGTTTCTGAAGGGATCTATAAAGGCTTTAACACTTCATAGCAGAGAGAATATAGAAAAACTTTTATAAAATGACTTTTAACACACCCTCAGAAATAAAGAAGCTTCTACTATCATCTTTTATATGTTAAAATATGTTTATATATTGTTATATATTTGTATGACACAGAATATCTAAGTTAGCTAAGCTTTCCTTAGTAAAAGGACTGGAGTCCTCCCAGAGAAGTCTTCTACTTTAGCCATATTCTACTTTCTTATACATATTAGCACATTAGCTCTAACAGAAGGTTATTACTGTATGATTACATAAAAATTCTAAATTCTTAACCTTTTTTCCATTTTGAATCATTATTCATCCAGGTAAGTTTGAACTCACATCACTGGAAAAAAAGAAAAAAAGAAAAAAATTGTTAGACCTAGTACAGTATTTGAGACTATGACTTTTTTTAATATAGAAAAACACCTTATTGCGAGGCAATTAGAATAGAGTTAGAACAAGAAAAGCACAAGACGAGGTTGATGTATCTGTTGCCCCACCCAATACTTCAGTGCTCTGATGTTTGGGTGGTTTTCTGGCTTGGCCTTACATACATGCACATACACAGATTGAATCAACTACCAGCCATCAGAGAAGCTTTTAATTCCTCAGAATTTTCTCTTTTCACCTTACTTTCCTCTCTGGAAAAGAAATGAAAGATGAACGAGGGTTTTTTTTTATTGTTGTTGCTGTTGTTATGTATTGTTTTGTTTGTTTCTAGTAAACTTTGAAGAAATGTGAAAAATCAGGCATTAGATCTGGCTTTAGAGAGTTAGAGGGTGTTCATATAACACTGCCCTGAAGCCTGAGTCTGCCTTTGCTTTCAAAAAACAAAAATAAAAAATAAAATAAAAACAGGTTTGATAAGATGGAAATGTATAAGAAGGCCCTAAACAGTGGAATACAAAAGGAAGACCATACTTCTAATTTTAACTTAACTGGACTCCTTTTAGGAAAAAATAGAAGGGAAATATATCTATTTTCAGGACAGTATTCACCATTGTTAATATTTGTATTACTTCTTTGCTATTTTACATGTTTTCTTGTATAGTAAATATGTACATCTTTTGTAATAAAAGGAATTTTTTAAAATTTTAACAAAAGAGGTACATAACTGTGATTGGAAGAAGCCACTGAAACTTTTTTTCCAGCTTCAAAGTACCTTTTATCATTCATGAACAGTAGTGCTAGTCTGATAGAATCTTTGGACAGATGATCTTTATTATGAAATAATGTAACAAAAGGTGTATTTCACAATTTCCCATTTTTCCAAATTATCTAATTCTTATTTTAAGGCATTTAGATCCATCTGTAGTGTGTAACTTTTGTTTTTGCATAATATCAATTTCAAATATCACTGCTGTTCTTTTACATGAAATTTAACTAAGCATAAAACTTATTCTTGAGTCAGTGTGACAAGAGCAAACTTCAGGAGTCTGCATTCCAGGCAAGTTCACTCCCATACACACCTATGTTTGAAGGCTGAAATTGTGGTGCTTATACTATGGTGGCGACCGTTTAAGGTGAGGGTAATTATGATTTGTTCCCTCAACTGATGATATTCCGTATTCCTACTTAGAAAATATAAAGTGCTGTGATGTGTTAAAGCACCATTTTCTGCCTCATTTCTTGAAGTATAAATGACAAACAGCACCTGGGTGCCTTTTTAGAACCACTTATAATTAGATTTATTTTTTTTTCTAGTAGCCAAATCATTAAGTAGGGTTAGCAGTACTTCACCCCTTGATCCTATTATTTAATTTTAAAAGGGAGCTGGGGCTTCTGCCACATCAACATTTAAATCTATCTTAGCATTTCTTATTTGTAAGCAAAATAGATTGTCTGACTTCTTTACAATGTAAGTATCTTCAAAAATTTCATTTTCATTCTCTTTCTCTTTCATTTTAAACTGGTGCACAATTTATAATAATTTGGCCAAAAATTAGATTGTGGCCAAACCACAATCTAATCTTCTTTAGAAGATTTCACTTCTTTAGCTAACACGTTTCATGGTGGGAAGAAGTTGGTAAAAGAAAAAATAAACCAGTATATAGGACTTCGAAGTGTTCCAGAATTTTCCCTGTGTTCATAGAAGTTCCATTTTTTAAAAAATAAAGTCTTCAAAGAACTAAAATAACATTTTTAACACAAAATGTACAATATGTTACTGTGATTTTTCTGGTTGGGTCTAATACATCTACACACGTTTATTTAAATGACACCTTTTAGTTGGAAACATTCAGACTGTTTATTAAAATTGTAAGGGGCCAGCTTTTTAAATTGCCTAATACACAAAACCAGTGGATATCCTCTAAGTCTTAAAATGATTTCTCATCCTTCCTCCTTTCCCTTCACAGGTGAATGACCTGTGCTGGCATGTCCGGTGTCTCTCCTGCAGTGTCTGCAGAACCTCCTTGGGAAGGCACACCAGCTGTTACATTAAAGACAAAGACATTTTCTGCAAACTCGATTATTTCAGGTACATTGTGACTTTTTGTTTTAGTAAGTAGATGTTCCAAGAAATTATTACACAGAGAATTTTGTAAATAGGCTTTCTTTTCCAGTTTTACGTATAGAAGCCCAGATTTTCTTATATATATTTCAGAATAAGAATGCTTTATATTTTGAGGTATAATATGTATTAAGCCAAATAAAATAAGCATGCTTATGTGTTTTAGGAATTCAGTATACAAAACTAATTTTAAATAACTATTCCCACTTTGGCAAATGAAAGCTTCAGGTGTTAAAAATAGGGACCCCTCTTTGCCATGCATAGGTATAAAGTGTAGAATCTAAGATGACTTACTGTGTGACAAAGCCCCTTGTTTGGGGGAAGGGTAAAATGAAATACCTAGGAGGGGGGAAATGCAAGTTCTGTTCAAGCTTTTACCCGTTTACTGTAGAGAGGTCCCTAGTTACACACCTATAAAATGCCTGCAGATTGGAGACTGATAAATCAAATTAATCAGAATTGACTATTGCAGTATAATAAATATACCAAATTTAATTATTCTGCCTAAAAATCCTATTTCTTTTGTCTGTTCTTTGACCTTTATTTTGTCAAATTACATTTGGCTAAGATGTTAAATGCAACATTTTTTGTGTGGTCTCTTTGTAATTATTTAAATGTGCAGTTTTTCTAGTATAATTCAATTCTTAATGGGTAGCTATCTATAAATTGAAATTGAAAGTCATTTGAAAGCATGACTTTAAAAAATGACCATATTTTTTCTTATTTGCATTTCCAAATAAAGAATAATGTTCATTGTGAAATTGGGAAGTTAATATTATATAATGAAGTTTGTAATACTAATTATATTGTTTATACTCAATTTCAAAAACTGATTTCAGAGAGTTTAGTGATTGATTTGAAAAAATTGCTAGGTAATTTAAAGCACTTCATGAAACCCAGAGTTCTTTATTTTATGAAGTCACTGAATTTTATAATTACCAAGAATTTTTATTTCTCATCAGATATACTCTTCACTTCCTCAAAAATAGTAGCAATGTGCCTTGTCTTTTACTTAGAATATATTAAATTTAATTTTTTAGGTAATCTAAAGACTTCTGTAAGATTTTGTTTCAGAGGCTTATTGAAGGTCTAGTTCCTCAGGATGTGTTTATACTTCATATTTTATCATGTTCTGAAATATGTTTAGGATTAAGTTTTTCAGAATTATTTTAAAAAACGGTAAGACCTCTAAAGAAATATTCATGAATAGATACAGACACATATACTTCTCCAGACTGATGTGGACACGCTGAGCCATGACAAAGATTCTGAAAGAGGACATGACAAAGTGCCCAGTCTCTTGGACTGAAAGAAAAAAGATATATTTGTATCTGGCATTTGGTTACGATTAATCCGCATTTAGTGTTCAGATGTCTCTTCGGAAGCTTTAGGTAATGTCCCCAGTCCTCTGTGCTTAGCAGTACAACAGTTTATTCACCAAAGGAAATATTCGAGGTTTTCTTCCCTCCCTTCTTCCCAGTGTGAACAAGCTCTGTTTTTTTGGTTCTTTGATAATATCAGTTTCAAATGTTTAAGTGTTTTGACTTTAAAAAAGATATGTAAAGCATTTTTTAATTACCTCAACTTGGCTTTAAGAAGTCATTTACATCATCAGTGGTATGCTTTAGCGCTTTTAGGTTTCAATCTGTAGCGTGTGTGTATTTGTATTGTATCTTTCGCCTTGGGTAATTTGAAATGCACTGATATTTGTTACAAGAAAGATTGAAACATATTTTGTTTATTTTAAAAGGAAAGAATCCAATCTATGTTTAAAGTAACAGTGAGGAGTTTTTTATTTATAAATTGGTTTGAATTATGACCATATCTTATCTTGATTGCTTACCGTACTGACTTTTAGAAAAATAATTGATTCCTGTTTTATTTTTAAAAGATTTAAATACTTAGCTCAGTCCAATGAGTAATATAATGCATTAGTTTAATCTCAGACTGATGAATATCTCACCAAACACTCAAATTCTTACTTCCTCCACTTCTATTTATGCAGAAGGTATGGAACGCGCTGCTCTCGTTGTGGGAGGCACATCCATTCTACTGACTGGGTCCGGAGGGCCAAGGGCAATGTCTATCACTTGGCGTGCTTTGCCTGCTTTTCTTGCAAAAGGCAACTTTCCACGGGAGAGGAGTTTGCTTTGGTGGAAGAGAAAGTCCTGTGCAGAGTACATTATGATTGCATGCTGGATAATTTAAAAAGAGAAGTGGAAAATGGTAAATATATACTTAAAATACTTTTGAGCCCTTTGGAACAGTGAATATAGGAATAAAAACAATTTTTCCTTCGGGTCATTTGAATGCATTATTTTGTGCAGTGTAATTGTGGTAAAGCTCATTAAGCACTTCACTGTTTGTGATGGTGTCCATCTGTTTATTTGCAGGGAAGGCCATGCTGTGTGTATTAGCAATGTGCCATATTTTTAGTCAACAGCCTTGAGTTTAGGATCTGGTTTTGCTTTTTGTAACTAGTTATTTCCCTGTCTTTGCCTTCCTAAGGATGAACTATAGATGTGTACTTAAAACTTTTTGCACTTGTGAGTATGCACTCAAACCTACAAATGGAATAGTATTTCTATAGTATTTTCTGGTGTGTTTAAAAACTTGACTCCAGGGGTTTGGCAATCTAGAAAATGTATACAATTTCACTCCCAGGCAAAAGATGCAAGAAGCCTGTTATCGTATGACTGGTAGGCCCATCTGAGTTACAAACATGTGTGGTGTGTTTTTTAAATATAGGTAATGGGATTAGTGTTGAAGGCGCCCTCCTCACAGAGCAAGATGTTAATCATCCAAAACCAGCAAAAAGGGCTCGGACCAGCTTTACAGCAGATCAGCTCCAGGTAGACATGACAATGAATTTATAATTTTTGAAGCCCCTACCTACCAAAATCAACCAACCAACCAACCAACCAACCAATCTCTATGCTGTCTAAAATCATTTTTATGTTTTCAAAAAGGCTAACCTGTGGTTTTTCTGAAAAATACCTTAGCGAATGTATGGAATATACTTTTTGCCCTGAAATATTGATCAATATTCCCACAGTAATATGTACAAACCAGTCATTCATGCTTTGTTTTCTGGGTTCTGTTGGCATTGATATCGAATGTGGAACCGAAATGTTTGTCTTTCCTGACTTCCTGATAAAAGCACTTTAAGCCTGGCATTGATGTTACTACATATAATTGTGACAGAAGATGAGATATTTTGGGACTCAACAGAGAGTTATACAATATGAGTGTGGGTCTATGAGCCACTAATGTGTGAATCTTTTTAAAAAGCTGCAATGAGTCTTTTAACAGACAAGATTATACATTTTCTGAGAAGGTTGATTATGTTCCCTGAAAAGGGAGGGATTATTTTCAGCTTAGCTGCCCTAAATATAATTGTCATAGGTTTGATTTATGTAATTGTCAAAAAATTTATTAAATAATTACTCCTTGCATTATATTAAAGTCTACACACATAATGGTTCTTTTTGGCTTTTTTTTTAAAGATAAAGTCATGTTTTTTAAAAGATTAATGTGACTGAGGTATTTTACATTAAGGTAAAGTGACATCCACTGAGCACCTACCATCCACTGCTGGGTGCTATATACATTGTAACCCTCTTAGCTCAGACTTTAAAGAGCATTTATACAATGTTAACAAATAAATGCAAGTAATTTTTGAAAAGTCACATATAATATTCTAAGATCTGCCAGTATTTATGATGAATACAACTGTTTCAAGAAGAGAATTTTTATTTTGCAAATGATTAAGAAAGAAATCTTGATGGGACACGAACATTGCAAGGTAACCTAACAGTGTTAGAAAATAATCTAGAATTAAAACCTAAAGCTGTTCTGAAAATTTTTCAAGTGGTTATTTTAAATTTCTCAACTTAGGCATGGAATAAATGGTCAATAAGTAATAAATGGAAGTTAAGGCATTGGAAAGAAATAGCTCTGTTTCAGCCCCTCTTTCCCGGGTGTGTTATGGGAAGATCACATAAAGCCCTAAATTAGAAGATATGAGTACCTTGTGAGAGACCTGGCAGAAAATGCCCAGTACCTAAAAGGTGTGTGAGAATAAATAAAGGTGTGTATAAACATAGAATCTTTAATAAAAATCATATATATTTTCATTTTTATTTATTGGTTTTTAGAGAGAGGGAAAGGAGAGAGAGACATCAGTCTGTTGTTCCATTTATTGATGCATTCATTAGTTGTTTTTGATTGATTCTTATATGTGCACTGACTGGGAATCGAACCAGCAAACTTGGCACATCAGGGTGATGCTCTAATCAACCGAGCTCCCCAGCCAGGACCATTTAGTGTTTTTAAAATTGTCCATTCCCATAAGGGCTGGCTGTAGTTTTATTTATAAAACTGATTTGATACAAGGATTTATTATTAAAATTATAATTATGAAAATTTGAAGCCACATTAGGTATATAGACAATTTCATATAAGAAGATAAATACTAATTAATAAAAAGGGAATAATATTTGTGGTGGACTTTGTGTGCCAAGTCATATGATAGGCATTTTCTCTACATTATCGCCTTTAACCTTTACAACAATTCCTTGATGTAGGTGGCCTCACCTGGGGGTGCAGGGACTCTCCTCAGGGTACATAGCCAAAGCAATGCAAGAGAAGAGATTTGGACCTTCTCTCCAAACCTCTGGTCTTTTCATTGTGCACAGCCTCTATGCATAAGAACATCCCACTTAATGGGAGCAGCAACAGCTAGAACAAGAGTGAGATTCTGAACCCTGTGAATAGCCTTAGAGTTTTAACTGCAAATGTGCACAAACTATTTAACCATGCTTTATTAAATGAAAATGTGCTGTGAATCATGTTTTTTAAAAATTTAGAATTGTAAGTTTTGAAAAATGAAAGCAGGAATGATGTTTTCAAAGCATGTTCCCACTTATTTAATATTTATTAGTATGGGTTGACTGAAACAAATGAGACACAATCCTTGTCTTCAAGTCGTTCTTTATAACTTGGGAATCTTGGATAGCTGTAGATTTTTTAAAAACTTGAATAATTATATTTTGCCAGAACCTCTAATAAATCAAGTGATGTACCCTCATTTTCAAATTGTCCTACCTCAATAAAATAATAAAATATGGTAGGTGATCAGTAAGTCAATACTCTTCATGAAGTACCTGCTTTAAACAGCCGAGTTAAAATGGGAGGAATAAACAAAATAATTTTAAAAAATTCTTTAGAAACCTATGGAAGAAAAAGTAGTTTCTTTTTCTTTAAAGATTTTATTTATTTATTTTTAGAGAGGGGGGAAGGGAGAGAGAAAGAGAGGGAAAGAAACACTGATGTGTGAGAGGTTTGGTTTCCTCTCTCATGTGCCTCCAAACTGGAGATCTGGCCCTTGACCCAGGCATGTGCCCTGACTAGGAATCGAACCGGCAACCTTTTGGTTCACAGGCCAGCACTCAGTCTACTGAGCCACACCAACTAGGGCAAGAAAAAGTAGATTTGTACTTATGAAATAAAACACTGCTTTGTGTTGGCATGAATATTTCAAATGTCTCATTTATAGATGTGATATTTAAGAAATTTCAGCCGATATTAATGGCATGCTTATTGTATTTGGATGCATTTGCTCAATGATTATTATGTGCTAAGGTTAACACATACCTTAGTCTCAGGATGAGTTGGTCAGCTGCTACTATGCAGAACCATGACATTTCTAGCAGAATTTCTGGCCTTAAAATGATGAGTGTTTCTAGAGGCTTACTCCTTGACCACTTTAAAAGAGCTCAGAACAGGAGTAGGTTGGGTTTTGACATCATTACTGACTGGAGAATAATAAAACTAAGTTAAAATGGGAAGGGTTTTTATTGTGTGTGGGACTAAATATTGATAAGTGCATCTTACTTTTCCTTTAGCACAGTCCAAATCCTAAACAGTGTTGATTCAAGTTTTGCTTTATTTTTTGATGAAAAACTGCCTTATCAAATGTAATTTGGCTTCATTATTAAACTTGTGAAGTTGAAATACCTTTGTGAAAAGCATGCTGTTTTCTATAAATTATCAATAGTGGCTCTGAAAGCAAATGCGTTTTCTTCTTCAAAATTAAAAAACAAAGACAGTCTGCTCATTCTTTTTCTCCTTGAGATTTCTATGCTCAGCTTCTATAAACGCAACTGCATTTGCATATGAAATAGCATATGTGATGTAGGAAAGGAAGAATGAAGTGAACTAAGTGAGATTATAAATTTTTAGGTTGATTGTACCCAGTTTTTAAAGCAAAAATACATGTACTATTTACAGAGAGTGTGTGGACACAGTTGGACAGGAAGCCAGGAATACCTTATCCTGGAAGAGTCACTCATCAGAGAGATGTTACCTGAAAAACATATAATTTGTAAACCTCTTAAGTTTTCCTGGAACAACTTTGGTGTTTTTTTCACCACACTGTCTTCAGATTTTCTTCACATCATCAAGTTCATTATGTCACAAACACTATTGACAAGAAGGGGGATAAGAAGACTGAGACAGTCCCTTCACCCTCAAGAAACTCACTCTCCACTAAGGAGAGCTAGACTTGCCAAATAATTATTTAGCTATCCTGTGAGCAGTGCAGTGGCAGGAGACAGTGTTACAGGAGGATCACAGTGGAGAATGGAATCAATATCGCCTGCTGCAAATGGTGTCCGGGCTAGCAGAGCAGGTCTTTAGTTAGGTTGGTTGCACCACCTCCACCCCATGCCTATAGACATGCAAAACCATGTTGAATGTCAGACTCCCTCTCTTATTCTTTATAATACTCTATATTTTATAACACTTCCCTCAATTGACTGACTTTTAGCTATGAAAATACAAATATCCCACTTGATGCCTATGGTTAACCTTTTCTGAAAGAATCCAAAAACCTTAGCTTGTGCTTTGTATTCTGGTGCTCCCTCCCTCTCTTCCTGCTTCTCTCTTAACCTTGTATGCTTGGTAGTTATTGGCATGTCTGTATCTTTCTCCTGGGAAGTTGAAATCAGGGATAGTTTTTCACGGGTCACTATCTTATAGAACTTACCACAGTGGCTCCAATCCAGAGGTTCACATCAGAATCACCTGGGGACTTTTTCAATATATAGATGTTTAGATTCCAGGGACTTTTCCTTCAGTGAGCTGCTGGGTGTCTCTTTTTAAGATCCCAGACATTCCTTTGCATAGAGCAGGTGCTCAAAACAATTAATGAAGGAATGGTTACAATTCCATGGGATACATTTGTTGCACTGTGTGCCATTTGCAGACTAATACAGATATAGGGACCTTAAGTCTGTTTAGCTCAGTAGAGGCTGGAGATAGTAGTGATGTGATTTTTGTATTTTAAAAAGTTTTTGAATGCTAGAACTTTTTAACAGAATGGGGAAAAACAGTAAATAGACTTAATACTATTTATGCATTTTATTTGTAGGTTGTAAGAATGGAAGAAAAGAAAAATTGAGAGGCAAGCTTTTTATGTTGCAACTCATGAGTTTTTAAAAGATCTTTACATAGCAACTTGTATGTAAATTTATAAAATATACATTCTTTTCATTTATACATATTTCCCTATATTGATTTTCAAGTAATAAAATACAAGTATCCGGTTTTCTTGTCTTCTCTCCAGTCATCAAAATGCAGAAAATTGATTATTTTTTAGCCACTCACTACTCACATTTTTTAAACAACAGGTTATGCAAGCACAATTTGCTCAGGACAACAACCCAGATGCACAGACCCTCCAGAAACTGGCTGAAAGGACAGGCTTGAGCAGGCGTGTGATACAGGTGATTATTTTAAATATTAATCAAGAGATACTAAAATTTCTATTCTAGGTCTTTATGAGTGTGCATTGTTTTGTGAAGACTTGTTAAAACATTAGCTTGTCATCATAGTTTTCTTCACACTCCAAATCATTTTTTAAAAACTCTAATAATTAGCCTCCTTGGCATGGGCTATCATTTGTTAAATGATTTACTGTACAAGTTACTTCATTCAGTGCTCAGAGTGACTCTGAGATCCTCAGGCTAAAAAAGACAACTGTGGTTCCCAGCTAGATCTGGTTCTGAGGTCAATATTTTTTCTACTTCACTAGGATTGTGTATGTAAGTGAGTGTGTGTGAGTGTGTGTGTGTGTGTGTGTAAGGGATGTTGATGGCCTTTGTTAAAGGTCCAGGTAGGAAGAGTAATCTGAAAAAAACTAGGGAGGGATGAGTAAGAGCAAATTTCTGTCTGCAGATTGTGGAAGCAGAAGCTGTTGGAGCTGAGCTTGGAGGGGCCCGTAAAGGTAGAGCTCTTTCCTGAGCAGGAGAAAGCCGCGATATGTAGTTTTAGGAAGGAAAGTTTGGTGAAAGTGCGTGGGAAGCATCGGGGTTGGGAGAGGATAGATGGAGTTAGACAGAGTAGTTTGGATGTCTAGGAAAGTAGTAATTTTTAAGCGAAACCTGAGTGGTGCAGTGGCCTAGAATTTGAGAACCATTCTATGACTGTGCAGTGATGGCAGGTGCTGGATACCAGAGAGCCAAAGAAAGGACCAGACACTGTAACGCGGAAGCAGAGAGAAGTCAAAAGCGATTCTGAGATTGAAAGTCAAAGTACTCAAGAAAATGGTGCTGTGAACAGGAACAGTAAGGTCAAAATAAAACTAGTTTTGTAGCTTGGAGGGAGATGAATTTCCATTTCTCTCTGCTAATTATACAATGATGGTGCCAAATAAAGGGCATTTTCAAGGATGAGCAGAACTCAGGCAAGAAGATCTAATGCTATGAAACTGGATAAGACCCTTTTAGAAAAAGACTACAGACAGGAAAGAGTGAAGGACGGATCTTAGGGAGAGAGCCGGGTAAGAGGTGCTGTTGGAGTAAGACACAGGAACAGCCGGTGTGAATGGATGAGTCTGAGGGAGGAGCATCATGGAAGCTGAAGGAGTGAGCTGGGCTGGGGACAAAGATGGTCAGCTGTGTTGGTTCATCTGGGGAGATCAGGGAAATGGAAAATAATTTTAAATAACATTCAAAGCTCAAGAAATTAAGGAATTAATGCAAGCAGGATCTGGTCTCTGTAAGGCAATGCAGGAAAAGGTAGATTTCACTCATGACATAGAACTTTCTCAGTAGGGAAGCCTACAGAAATGTCACCGTCTTCCATTAAGGGCAGCAAGTTTTCTATGACTGGACATGAAGCTTCCTTCTTTGCTGAGGTCATTCACACACAATGGGCTGAGGCTTCCTTCTAATCTGAGACTCTGGAGCATCTGTCAGATTCATGACTACTGTGTTTTGTGAGACATTTTCTGATTCTCTGAAGAAGTAAGGACCTCAGATAGACATCTCTTGTGTAACATCCATGTATTTCAGTCACCAGTACTATGAGCAAGTCAACTTGATTCCACACACTACAACCTGGAGAATATATTTATTGTTGGATGGTGGCTTTTAATATGTGAGGACTGAAGGAGGTGGAGAGAGGTGGAGGAGGGTATAGGGGGGATACATGTGATGGAAGGAAATGTGACTTGGGGTAGTGAACACACAATACAGTGCACAGATGATGTGTTGTGGAACTGTGCGCTTAAACCTATGTGATTTTGTTAACCAGTATCACCCCAGTACATTCAATAAAAAGGAAAAAATACATGAGGATTGAATTTAAATATTCCAGATAAGATAGCAAAGGAAGGAATACCAGCATGCAAATATTTGTACACAGGGTGGCACAAGTAGATTTACAGGTTTTTGTATGGAAAATAATACAATAATGAGTGTATATGTAATATAAGAATAAACTCTGTGTTTTGCATACTCACAAATATAAGCCTACATTTTCCTCACCCTGAATATTATTCGTATATATACATGTGTATATAATTTAAATGTATAGTTCTTCACAGTATTTTTGAAGAAGTAAGTGGTAATCATGATCTACTTGCCCAGCCTACTTCCTAGCATTGAGCATGCTTTAGAGAAGTTAAAGAAAAGAGTTTAAATTACCAGGCCTTGATTCAAATATGCAAACTAGGTTATATGCAAAGGTTAGGTAGAAACAATGGTCTGATACACAGAGATGATCTCACCTTTACTAGCTGAGTCTACTTTGACATTAGTAACAGCAGAGTGTCATTGCACTAAAATCATAGAATAAAAATGGATGATTTTACTTTCAACACTCTTCACCTAGATCAAATCACTATTCACATACCCTTTCAGATAGGTGAATGTATAAGTTGTATACCCTACAGATAAAGGGAAAAACAGTGCTATTTCTTTCAGTCACTATTCTGGGAATACCTTTTCATATTAAGAGCTACATCATTTTTATTGCTGCACATATTAAGCATAGAATAATTTATTTAATTTCCAGATTTTTATTATATAAATGCTTTAATGAGCAACATTGTATACATACCTTGCATGCTCGTTCAATTGTTTTGATAGGATAGATTTATAGAAGTGCGATTGTTGAGTCAAAAATGAAACATTTTTAGGGCCTTTAACTGATAGCACAGAAATCACTTCCAGCAAGTTTCTATCAGTTTATTCTGCCAGGAGCTCTTTATGAGAGTTCCTCTTCCCCAACCTTTCAGTCCCAAGTACTGTCATTCTTTAACATCCCTTCTGGCTTGATAATCAGAAAATGTCCTTGTTTTTATATTTTTTCATTACCAAGGAACTTTAACATATTTGCTTATTTTGCCATTTTACAAGTTGTTTTTTGGCCCCCTTTTCTATTGGTTTGTTTCTTTTCTCGCCATCTTACTTTTACTGATTTTTATTTTCCATGTTAAATTTTTATATTTTATCAATTTTTTTTTATTTTTCCACATATAGAACTGTTTATATTTTTATGTATTCAGACTTTTCAATATGTTTTCTCATAGCTTTGGCCTTTTCCTTAAACATGGTTTCGGTTATTTATACCTACACTTTATCTGGAATTGACTATTAGTTACATGTTGGATAGGGATTTTTCTCTATGTTTCCTCTCAGATGATTACCTAGCTTTCTTATTTTTCTATTTTTTTAATTTATTGATTTTTTGTTGTTGTTCTTCCACTTATTTATACATTCATTGATTGATTCTTATATGAGCCCTGACCAGGGATCACACCTGCAACTTTGGTGTATTGGGGCAATGCTCTAATCAACTAACCTACCCAGCCAGGTCTACCCAGCTTTCTTAAATCAGTATTCTGCTTTCTCAATAATTTAAAATTACATCTTTTCATACACTAAATTTTTATATTTGACCTTTTGGACTTTCAAAAAGATTAATTTTATGCATTTGTCTTTTGCAGAATGTCTGCATGTCCTGCTTTTAGCTTATATAGTTCACAGTATAGAACTAAAAAAAAGTTATGTATATTGCTTAGAAGAAATTTTAACTCTTTTTAGAGGTTTGCAAAGCAGAAGGAAGAAACTTTGTCAGTGAGGAAGAGTCAGAGGACTTGTGTTTGAATTCTGAAGCTAGGTAGCCCTCATGTCAGAAGTTATTTTCTGAAGTCTGGTGTCCTTAGCTATACTTTACTGTACCAATTACATGACACTTTGTGTTTACAAACCTCTCTCTGCTGATTGATTACCTGTTGATGATCTTTCCAAGGAGCTATTTGAATCAGCATTACGGGAATTATTCTGTTGTCTATATCATGTCTTCTTTATATTTACTTCCAAAATCTGGGATTTTTTAAAAACAACTGAGTAGGTCCCACCCAATATATAATCTACTGGACACATAAGATACTTTCAAGAAACTCTGGGAACCACAGTGTTATGGATGTTAGGTTGTATGTAGTTCTCTGGCTATATGTCTTCTAGATACTGCCCAGGAAAAGGCAGGTGGTAGCAGGTTTCTTTCATCAGTTGGAGAAGGTGTAAGTGCATCATCTTGGCTGGGTGGGTGACAGTAGTGGTGCAAGGAGCCTGTGGAGAGGGCTGTGACTGGGGACTTTGGGCATGGTCTCTGTATAGGTTCCAAGAATCTAATACTCCACATTCCAAAAGAGGGAGAAGGCTTGACTTCCCACTCCTTTTCTTTGATATGTGTGTAAGTCTTGTTCCTGAAACATTTCTTGGTGCTTCCTTTCAGCCACCTGCTCAGGGCTGCACACCCCATTACATTATTCATTTTTTAATGATTTCGTTTATTTATTTTTAGAGAAGGGAAAGGAAGGAGAAAGAGAGGGAGAGAAACATCAGTGCCTCTCCTGTGCCTCTCACATGCCCCCTATTGGGGACCTAGTCCAAAACCCAGGCACATGCCCTAACTGGGAATCGAATCAGCAACCTATTGGTTTACAGGCCAGCACTCGATCCACTGAGTTACACTGATCAGGGCCATTATTCATTTTTATTTCTCTAGTTTTAAACCTTTCAGTTTATATTTCACCAGCCTTCTATTTTTGAATCCCAAGGGCAGGGTGTTTCTTAGAAATGAAGCCAATTTTTTCATATAAATCTTTTTGCAGCTTCCTTCATTTCCACATTATTTAAACTGGATTCTTTTTTGCCAGCCTGGGCCAGAGAGAGACTTATGCCCCCAGCCTTTCCGTGGCCTTTACCTGAAACTCCAATTTTCTTATTTTAGTTTGCTTAAAGTTTTTATTCCTCCACTTCTCATTCTCCTCAGGACAGAATTGTTTGGTATGATGGCATGTAAATGCTATATTTTAGTAGAGTAACACTCTACAGTTAAGTTTTATCTTATGGTATGGAGCTGAAACACAGGCAGGTTTGTTGCTGGAAGCATTCTGGGCAGTCTAATCTTATCTACCTGGATGTGAAACTCTGCTTGCCCTGAATTTGCTTCCTTTATTTCTGGGAAAGAGTGGACAAGCAGGTGGTTAGCTCTTTACATTTTGTGAGCTGTTTCACCAGTGTTTGTATTTTATTCTACTTATATATTACTGGGTTTGTTTGTTTTTTTCATTTTAAGTTTGACCTTAATATGCTTACATGCTTCCTAGGGAACAGACTATGTATTCACCTGGAGAAATTGAAGCCAGCGGGTTAAAATGTGCCTGGAATAACTGAATCAAGGGGTTTGTAGAAAGCTTTAAGTTCTCAGTAGGGATTTTAGTCATTTGAAAAAAAAAGATTTGAAATAAGTTCGGCAGGTGTCTAAGAATACATTTAGTAGTGTATTTTTTTTATTTGTTTAAAAGGCTCTTTCTGTTTCTCTTTTTTGTTGCTAACACTAGTAGCAAAATCAAGGAAACTCTTTTGGAATTCTTGAAGCCCCTTCCTCTTTTCATTTTGGAAGACGCTGATTTAGTATAGAATTGGTTTTTAAGTAAATCTTCAAGTAGTTATTATTTTGAGTGAAGGAAATGACCATTGGTATTTGTGTGAAATTACTTCTCTTCTGTCTACAGACCTTTTCAAAAGCTTACTTAGATTTATACTGTGCTTGTCCGGGAGAGTAGTCCAGGTTGCATCTATTTTTAAACTGAGTTGTAATGTGCTCAGGAGCTGATATGTGACATGGCTACATTGCTTTTCTCCCTCAGGTGTGGTTTCAGAATTGTAGAGCGCGCCACAAGAAACACGTCAGTCCTAACCACTCCTCCTCTGCCCCAGTCTCTTCTGTCCCGCCCTCCAGGCTGTCTCCACCCATGTTAGAAGAAATGGCTTATTCTGCCTACGTGCCCCAAGATGGGACGATGTTAACTGCGCTGCATAGTTATATGGATGGTAGGTATCCTAACATTTAACAGCTATCTCCCAAGCAGTCAACAACTGACAACTTCTAGTATTAGATCACTGATGAGATTCACTTTTTGAAGTATTACCTCAGTACTAGCTGAAAAATGTTGTGCGAGGTTTAGTAGGGAGCAAAACTACCCGAACACTCTTATTTCTGTAGCTGTATTTTGAGGGACAAGCTTAACACTCACTTTAGAGCAAAAATACAAATACTGATATTGACTCTTAGTGCTTGATTTCTACTTAGGAAAAAATGTTTTGTTTGGTTTTTCACCTGATAAATATTTAAATTATTTATTTTCCTATGGTCAGAGAAAGTATTCACACTCAGATTTTTAGATTGGAGTTGACTTAGTTTTGTTAAAGAAACTTTTTTATTGAAATAAACATACATATAGTAAAGTGCACACATAATAAATACACATGATAAATTAATAAAATGAACATATCCATGTAAATACCACCCAGATGAAGTAGCAGACCATAACTAACACCCCAAAAGCCTCTCTTATGATCCCTTCCCAATCATTATCTTTTTCCTCCAAAGTAACATTGCCTTGACTTCTAAAACATGTTTTAGTTTTGCCTTTTTGTGAGCTTTATACAAATTGAAATGTACAGAATGTATTCTTGTGTGTCGTACTTCTTTCAACTACATTGTTTATGAGATTCATTTGTATTGTTGCAAGGATCAGTGATTTGTTTGTTTTCATTGTTGTATGGAATTCTACTGTAGGAATACACCACAATTTATCCACTCTCCGGGTGATAGACAAGTGTGCTATTTCCAGTTTGGGCTTTTATGAAATGCTGCTATGGACTTTATGGTGATTGCCTTTTGGTGCACATTAATTCACACTTCTATTTGGTATGTACCTAAGAATGGAACACAGGGTCATAAGCTACACATATATTTAAATTTTAGTTAATTCTGCCAAACTGTTTCCCATAGTGATTGAAGCAGTGTTCACTTGGACCAGCAGTGTATGAGAGTTCAAGGTGTTCTACATCATAACACTTGACATGATGTGAATTCTTAATTTTAGCCAATTGATAGTTCTGTGGTGCTGTCTCATTATTTTAATTTGCTTTTCTCTCAGTGACTGATGAAATGGAGCATTTTCATTGGGCATCTTTATATCTTTTTTGTAATGAGCCTATTTATATCATTTTTCTATTGATCTATTGGCTGTCTTCTTTTTTTTCTTGATTGGTTTTCATTCTTGCTTATATTCTGCATATAAAGGTTTTTGTGTGTGTGTGTGTGTGTGTGTGTGTGTGTGTGTGTGTGTGTGTGTGTGATTTTATGTGTTGCAAATGACTCCTCCTGTTCAGTGGCTTGCCTTTTTCTACTCTACTGAGGGAATGTTCTGTTGAGCACCAGTTCCTAACTTTAATGTAGTTCACTTCATCAGTTTTTTCCTTCATGGGCAGTGATTATCTGTGACCTGTTCAAGAAATTGTTCTTACTCAATAATGATAATATTCCTGCAGTATCTTCTAGAAACTTTTGACATTTAGGTTTACAGTCCATCTGCGGTTGAATTTTGTGTGTGGTGTAAAATAGGGAACAAAGCTTATTGTTATATTGTTGAAAATACTAATTTCCCAGCTGCTTTGTAGCACCATATTTGATATAAATCAAATGTCCATATGTGTCAGTTTTATTGCTGTTCTTATTCTATTAATAACTAATTGTTTTAATTATGCTAGGCCTATAATTCTTGATATCCAATAGTATAAGTCTTCCTATTTCATTGTTACTCAAGTTTGTGTTGCATATCCTTTACCCTAAATTTTACCAGCTGTCAATTTCTACCCCTCAAAAAGGAAAACAATTGAGATTTTCTACAGTCTATTGTAGGAAATTACCATCCTAAGTAGTTCTTAAATAGTCCCTAAAACTATTGTAGGAAAGACTGGGTAATAAATTTCTCTCATATCATGAACAGTGTCCATTTATTAAGGTCATCTTCAAATGTTCTCACATAGACTAGTAATCTTATACATCTTTTGTTCGTTTTATTCATAAGTTTTTGTTTTGATGCACTCGTCATTGGTATTCCATCTGTATGTGGAAATCTAGGTTGGCAGCTATCTTTTTTTCATCACTTTGAAGATATGATAACATTTTTTTCTGGCTTCCATTGTTTCTGTTGTTTAAAATATGGATAGTTAATTAGCCTGAAACCACTTCTTGGGAGTCAGCTGTTGCTCTTACTCTTGCATCTTTGAAAGTAAATGTCTTTTTTTTTTCTCAGCATTTCTCTTTGTGTTCACGTTTCAGTTTTATTATAATTACTCTACTAGAGATGCTCCTTGAATATCTAATTTTATGTTTCTGCCCATATGAAAAAATTTCATATTGTCCAGCCTTTTGATCTTCCATGCTTTAGTCTAGATAGTCCCTTCTAGCCTGTCTTCCAGTTCACTGATTCACTCTGTCTAATATGATGTAAAACCCATCCATTGAGTTCTTAATTTCAGTTCTTGTAACTCCCATTCTAGAATGTACATTCCATTCTATTACACAATTTCAACTTCCAAGCTGAAATAATCTATTTTGTCATTTCGTTCCTTAATAAAATTGTTTTATTAATTATTATAATAATGTCCATGTCTGATAACTCCAATATCTGGATTTTTGTGGGTCTGTTCTACTGTTTTTGTTTTTTCCTCTTTGTTTCCAGTCAAGCCATGTCTTCTTACTTGCCTTGTTATTTTTTATTGTACTTCAGATATTGGGTATGAAAAACTAGAAATAATTTGAGGTTCTGGGTAATAACCTTCCACCAGAGAGGATTTAGTTTTGCCTTTGGCAGGGAGTAGGCTAGGGGAAGATGGACTTAATCCTATCAGGCATCTGTCCTCAGGAGGGGTGGTATGTGTCTGGGTTGCTACAACCTAGGTTTGGCCTGTAAAGTCCCAAACAAAGCCTGTGTTGTTTATTTTGTTTCTGTCACTTTTAACTATGGCATCTCTTCAGTGCTCCCTGATCTTTCATATTTGTTGTCCACCACCCTGCCAAAGTCTAACTTCTGAAAACTCTGCTATACATCTCAGCCTCTCATGCATTTATTTTAAAACTGTCACTAACTTGGGGAAAAGTAGCCTCGTTTTATCTCTCTCCTCTTCTTGGAGTTGACTACCTTGGTCTCCTTCATATGCCTTCAGACAGATTTTTAAAAATTTTGTCCAGCTTTCCTAGTTGCTCTCTGAGGGAGGTTGTATTTGAAGCAACATAGACCTTGCTGAGGGTGGAATCTTCATTTTAGGTTTGGTTAAATAAAAAATCAGAACCTGTATCATTGCAATCACTTACTTAATGCTAGCATCGACATTGGGTGTGTTCTCTTGAATGACTGCTGTGTTGCCTGAGTCCAATGTGTTTTGATCTATGTGTAGGGAAGAGGCAGTTAAGCATTCATAAGTGAGAATTTGGGAGGTCATCCTATCTACAGACACCTTCATATGAAAGCTAACGACATTCACATCTGCAGACAAAGCTCATGTGTCTTTCTAGGGGCAGGGTAAAGTGCAGTGAATGGGGTATGGATGGAGGACAATAAAGTGGCAGAAGCTGTGGCACAAAATAAAGATTTAGGGGTGAACCATTCCTAGATTCCCATTTAATAATATACTCATGATGTTGAACAAGTTCATTCTTCTGCTGAGGTCAGTGGAATGAGTATAGTTTGGCACCCTCAGGTAAAATGAGTAGTGAAAGCATATTAAAGCACATTGCCTTGGATTGTTTTTATTTGCTTTGTTTTTAAATCAGTTTTACCTTGCAAAACTGATCCACAAATTTCTTTCTATTTTATAGCTCATTCACCAACAACTCTTGGACTCCAGCCCTTGTTACCCCATTCAATGACACAACTGCCAATAAGTCATACCTAATTTCTTTTTTCAGGGATAGAAAGGATTAAGGATATAAACTTGTCATTTATTATGTATAAAATGCCATTGAAAAGATTAGTGTTAATTTTTTATTTAACACCCAAAGCATTTCCAACATCACTTTGCTGCCCAGGTATGTATCTACAGTTGGCCTGCAAGACACTTTTATTGATTTTTCATTTTTTTGTAAAACTTATGTTTACAAGAAGAAAACAAATCAAAACTTTTTTTTGTATTGTCTGGAAATAGTTCACTCTAGTGTGTATCTGTTAATTTATTTGTCATCGAAAGAGCACTTTGCCTAAAAGAAAGGACTGACAAGTGTGCAAAATGTTTACAATCCTTTGTGAAATTGTAGTTTATCATTAGTTTGTATCTGTAAGTTATTGTTATAAATATTATCTGTATTTTTTTGTTACATACAACTTTATACTTTGAGGCTTGTATCTGTGAATTTGCAACTGAAATTTATTTTGCCAATGTTTTCTGATGAACTGAATAAAGCTTCTGTTGTAGCATGCCATGCAAACACATTATTGTGTTTGTGGTTGATGAATTATGGCTGTAAATAGCACTATAGTTTAAAAGCCCACCATTCTAAGTTTATTAAACATTTTCCATTATTGTGAGAGTTTCAGTCAATTTGTCCTTTTGGTGTGTGTTTTCGATAGTAAGTCGACTTTAATATCTTTCAAATATAACAACTCTTAATTTAAAAAATTCATTTTGTTTTGAGCTGTGTTGGAGTATGTTTTAACAGGAGACTTATTTGTTGATTATTGCAGTTACTCAACAAAAGAATTCATGAAAACATCTAATTTGACAAATTGTCTCTTTCCAACTCACTAATAAAATTAATGTGAAAGAAAAGGCAGAACACTTTTCAAAACGATTTTTTCGGGTATCCCATGTCAGAAATGAAAAATGGGCCATCCGCGTGTATTTCTTCAGGGGTGACAAAGGGAGCCGAGGAGTCTTCAGAATTTCTGAGCAATGTTTCTGGAGCAGAGACTTGGCTTTCTCTTCCCAGTGAACACTCTGTAGGGATGGTGACACAGAGCTGAGATCTGAACTTCAGCACTTTATCCTAAGTCACAGCGGATGCTTGTCTCGGAATTATAGAAAGAAGTAGTGCACCCTCACTCATTTATGCAATTTAAAGAACTAAATCAGTACTCCTTTCTTGTCTTTCATATACCAGTCAGGAAAAATAAAAAGGTAATGAGGAAAAAAATCTTAAGAACCTTAAGTTTTTAAGTCTTTGTTTAACATAGCAGATTTACATCTGGCTGAGGACTGGAAGTAATAGTGGAGTATTTGTAATTCTATTCTGGTAATCATAAATGCAACCAGAAAGCACTCATGTGGACGTAAGTAACTTACTATCTGCCTCAAACCAGAAGCAACAAAACTATGTTTCACGAAGAGAAAAGGAGGGGAAAAAACTGTTTTGTTTTGTTTTTACCTGCTACTGCACTTGGCCAAAAACAAAGAGGGACTGTTGACTATAGCCACTCTATCTAATGTGGTGAAATTGATGCTAATCACTTGGGTTTTGGTCTACCTGTCCCAGGCACGAAGTGGTGCAGTCAGCTTTACCTTTACCAGATGTCCAGGAAAGCCCTTGTAGTCTAGCCAAGCTCTGCACTGTTAGCGGCTGATAGCATTTCCCAGCTGGCTATAATTGGCATCATTTAGCTCAGGAGGTGCTTGATTGTGAGTGTTCGTTCTCCTCTCTCTTTTGTCTTTTTCCTGGACTCACCACCCTCTGACTGTTCAGAAAGTTTTTACAAACCACATCACTACCCTTTTTAGTTCCAAAGATGAATGCCCAAAGTTGAGGCAAATCTTCCATAACAGAGAGGTTCAGAGCTGTCAAAATGAGATTTATTTATTGTACATCTAAAGTTGTTAATATTAATAATGAAGTGAGACAGATATGAAAGTACTAAAAATTTATGTGATACAAACGTATAACTATGTTTTAATTTCAGTTGGTGGAACACAGAGGTCCTAATTTTATAACTTGAAATTAGGAAAGAATTGAAGTATTTCCATATTAGTAATGCTCAATGTTAGCATGTAGGCAACGGTGTTTATTTGCTTAAAATTGGGGGTGATCAAGCAATTTTTATGAGTATTGTAGGTAGACTTTTGTTGGACTAGCAAAGCCCTGGATAACAAGTAGTTACCTCTTAGGCATTCAGAGATTCATGAGCTGAAAGAGGGTAAAATAATAGGTTTGCTATGCAAATCAGTTGAATCACTAATTCAAACATTGACACTGAAGTTACACTAAGTCAATACCTTTAAGTGATTCTTGTTAGTAGGTAGCATAAACATTTATCAGTAATTTCACATTATGCAAACATTCTTATGAGGTCACATTACTTTTTCAAATGATAAGTACATCTGTTTTGAGTATCTCATAATAAACACAGTTAGAATCATAGTTCATGCTTTTAAAAATTGTTGCAGGCATTTGAAAGCTGATAGCCATAGTATTTCTTGAATTGGTAAATTTTGCACATAATTACTCTAGTAGCATTATGAGACTAGATGGTATCTTGGGACTTTGTTGTAGCATGGAGGGTTTTACGTGGTAGTTTAAGAAATGCTTCTATTTAATAAAATACACAGAACAAGAGTCATTTGAGTGGCCAAAAGGACATTAGCTCAGGAAAACTTCTCAATGACCCCCACCCCAGTAAATAGAGGACCCAAAATTAACACTTTGATTTTTGCTCTTTTGAAACACAACTAAATTTTTGAAAAGAGAAATTGGTTTGAATTCAAAACAAGTTCAAGTACACTTAATAATGTCTAAGAAACATCAACTTGAATTTGATCACACAGTAAATACTATTTTATAGTCTGCTTTAGCCCTTTAGTACAATAAACATTTTTTTCAAGTGAAATATTTATAACACCATTTTAATTGATATATAGCACTACATTGCTGAGATAAAACTATTAGATATGTAGGTTGTTTCTGATCTTTCACTATAATCTAACAACGTGAGCACTTTCAGTACGCCCTCTCTTAGCGTCTTAGATGTATTTTAACTGTTTACAGCCAACTTATGAACAGATTATATTATGATCATTATACAAATGTAGAAATTAAAAAGTGATATGTCCAGGGTCTCAGTGAGGATTACCAAAGCCTATATTTGAACTTCACAGCTCAGTGACCCCAGAGACCATGACCTTGTGTGCTTTGAGCTTTCTCTGTTTTAGGTGTCATCACAGTGAGCCTCTTCACAGCCACCTTTTTATTTACATTCTATTTCCCATGTACAAATTCTTAGAAGTGGAATGGATTTGCATGCATAGTTTTAAGGTTCTTGAAAGTTATTAATTGTCCCCAGAATTCTGCACTAATTTGTGTTTCCACCAACAGTATCTGAGGTGTTTTCCAAAGCAATTGTCTATCTTGCCTACCAGTGGAATTAATAGACTCTTAATTGTTTTTCCAATTTGATGGTCAAAGAGATAACTTTTAAAGCCTTATATTTCATTTGTTACTTGATATGAAATTTTAATTTACATTTCAGAAAAATAGTTTCTTGATAAAAGTTTATAGAAACACAAGCTACCACTTTTGTGATCTTCCTTCAGTTATTCTGCATAAGTGTCTAAGTGAACATTCTTTAGGATTTGTTCAGCTGAGGTATCATTCACTTGATATCAGATATTTTACTTCTGTACCTGGCACTCAGTATCATCATATTTTATTAGATTTGTCGATGATTATATTGGTACCTTTCTGTATTTACATGGCCCTTCACACATTTCAAATGCATTTCTGTACATCATCATGTCTCCACTCAATATATGGGGGGACTAAAATTCAAAAAATTTTGGTTAACATAATTAAGCCTTTGGTTTTAATATACAAGAGTTCTCTAGAGCACCAGATTATTTTTGCAAATTTGTAGAGATCTCAGGAGTATAAGTTCACGAGTGTTTCCCCATTGCTTGGGTTTTATAAGCAACTCTAAAAAAGATAGACTTCCATGTGCTCAGAGGACGTGAAGACTCCTGCAGGAAACACCCCCCTCCTTTTCTCCATTGTGCCAACACGTGCAGTCCTCACCAAGAATCCACCAAGCATCTGTAATTGGTGGGAACTGAGAGCAGCATTTAGGTGTGGACGGTGTATGTGTATGAGTGAGTACGGGGCCATCGCAAGACGAAAGATGGTTGTTAAAAAATAAGAAAAGAAATAATCCTGGAAAGAGTTTGCTTTCCATTACATTCTACCGTGTAATGTGGCAAACATTCTGTTGATTGAATAAATAGGAAAATAATCAGAATAATGTTCATGCTTGAGCACCCTAGGATAACTTTAAATTCCAAAAGAGCTCACCTTAAATTCTCAAAATATTATTTCTCACTTCAGCAAATATCTTTGGTATGCCTGTGGCATTTTGTTTAGCATGAGATTCAGGACACCAGGATTTTTAGCACATTCTCTGATACCATTGAACTATGTAACAAGGTCACTTGGCCTCCCTGAATGCCAGCTTTCTTAACATTAAAAGGAAGACTTTGTTATGAAGCTAAAGTGAGGTGATGTAAGAAAAAGACATGATGAAAACATATCCTATTAATATAGGGGGATAGTGGCAGGAGATGAGGCAAGCTCAGCTGACCCATTGGAGCACCAGGAGTCTGGCAAACCCCGGTCCTACCCCAGGCAACCCAGGAGGACAGCGCTTGGTCCATTCTTTAAATAAGTCAGAGGTTCGAGCATCTATGCTGATAATGAGTTCCATGTTTTCAAATGAAGTTCTTTTCTTATCCCAACCTCAAAACAAATGGAAAATATACATTTGGTGTCTACAAACTCCCATTTGATCTTAAAGAGTTTTTCAGGCAAGTGGTGGTGTCATCTTCTGTAATTTGGGTATAGAAAACTCTCTATATAATTTAGCTTGCAGAGGTGATTTGAATGGTTGCAAAAATAATTTTTTAATCCAGAAGATTTGAAAGGG